ATTTAAAGAGATAAGGTGAAAATAAGCAAGTTTTTGTTACTATATAATGGAGCAGAAAATACAGAGCATCTATGAGTTTAATGGGATAAAACCAAGAGGCTGCTTAGATCCTGCTACCTTGGTACTGTTTGCCTCAGTCTGTGATGAAGTGCTTGAGGGGAGCTGAAAGATGAGCTTCATTATTTAGGTGAAATTCTTCCAATTTATAAAAGTTTGTTAGCAAATACGTAACCTTATAGAACACACAGCATGGGTTTTCAGGCTATTCATTTGGAATTCAGATTATGAGCTGCAGCACAGTAAGTGACAGGTTTTTTTTTTTAAAGTATTTCCAAGTTTATAATTTCAACTGCTTTGTGCTAATGATGCACACTACAAGCGGGCTTGGAAGGAATTCCCTACTACCTCTCCTGTCAATCTAACTTTTAACTCTTAACTCCCCACTGATCCAGCCCAATTCCCATTAAAGCCAATGGAAATGTTCCCACTGACTTCTGCAGAAGATGGATCAATACAGATCTTAAATTCGGTTATTGAATAAATATATATTTTTTTGATTCATGCATTTGTCAGACATAAAAATAACAGTTTTGTTTCTTTAATGTTTTTTTTCACAGTAATCTAGGTGGCTGGTGCACCTGCCATCTGACAAAACAGATATCTCTTTGCAGAGACTGTATATAAGTTTCTCCATCTATCTCAAAAAAAGTCTTGCAAAGCTCTTCAGAACTCAGTACACGTTCTTCCCTCTTCACAACTCATTTTCTTTTTTTTTTTTTTTTTTGGTGACAACCTAGGCAATAATTCACAGCTCACTGGGTCCCCTAAATAACCCCCTTTATATTTACACGGTAGGCATTCCCCCATTACCCAGCAGGACTCAGCTGTATTGGCAGGCAGTCATTAGGCAGTCTTAAGACTTTGGAGGTTTAACATACCTTTGTGTAGTTAGTATCTTTGAAAAAACCCTGGATAGTCACCATCTCAGCAAATATATAGCAAATCTTTACAATTTAACAACAACATAAGCTGCGTCATTTTGTTATTTCAAAGTGGTTCCTTCTTTGGGTCCCATCCAGACTCCCACATGAAACCTTTAAAACTCAGAAGCATTTCACCCAGTGGAAGATTGTTTCTTTCTTTTGCTAGAAATAGAGCAAATAGCTCAATAGCTACAGCTACTTGAGCCTCTTTGCTGAAACCTTCACAAGTGTATACTTGCTTTGCATTATGTATTGTAGTTACTTCAAGACAGGATTATTAAGAATTCTAGGGGAAATGAAAATTATGCAAAATCACACCTTCTACTTATGAATGGAGAGAAGTTCTTTTAGGAAACACAGATGAACTAAAATAAAGATGCTTCACAAGAAAGATGCTCAAGTCTAACTTTCACAGAACGGAGATTTTTCACTAGAAGTTCATCTTTCAGTAGATACAATCTGAGGTAAATTTCCAGGGCTTATGGGTATGCACTGACTGAGAAAACTCCCCCAGCTGACTTCCTCCACTGCCTATGGAAAGTCATTAAAGACACTGCTCTACAGCCTGCCTTGACTAACATCTGTCATGCAAACAGGACCTACTGGTTCACTTCTTCCCTTTCCTAAAGCATGGACCACAGGAGTAACACCTCTTTGAATTCTTTAGTAAGTGCCAAGTTATATTATGGAGGCTTGTAGGAATATAGAAGAAGAAAACAGAGGAGTTGATTCATGTTAACATTACTGACGTTTGGTACTGTTAATTCTACTTGTTCTGAAGAAACCTCTAAATAAACCTAAAGTGACAGATTGCCAATCATGCCTAGAGCAATATGCATCCTGTGAGCCTTGAACTGACAAATGTTCAAAACTGGATTTTTTGCTGCATGGATAAATATTTCAAATTAATATATCAAAAGGCTTTACGTCAGCAAAAAAATCTCAAGGAAAGTGATGTTTATCGAAAAGAATGCAACCATCTTTTTGTTTATAATTGGACTATTCTCTTTCCACTAGTATTTGAAAGGTCAACTGGGGTATCTGTTTCTTTGATGAGAACCAGAGCCATCATGATACAATGCCTCATATGTGTCACATGCAATATTATTAGATATGTCCAGATTTAAGAAGTGAATTCCGGGTAATTCTTAAAATAAGAGCCATTCACACTGCTCCAGATATCATGACAGAATATGAAAAGTATGTGGTGATAGTTAATCTGCAGTCATTGCTCATGTTAGCAAAATTTGTGAAAGTACTTTTATATCCTTAAGACCAATAAGCACTTGAGCATGTATTTCACATGTTGACAAAGTTCAAGTAACATGCTGACAGTACCAAACAATTCACCACCACAGCTGTAATGAAAGAAAGGGGCCCCTATACCTACAAACTGTTTGGTTTTTTTTTTAATCAAAGTGAGTAATTCTTAGTTATATTTTTCCTCATGGCATCCTGTAAGCTTATGAAGACTTCTCCTTTACTTTTAAAATTCCTATAGAACACAATATGACTCCTATCATCTGAAATGCCTTAATAATGCTGCTGCTTTTAAACTGAATATTTATTTAAAGTTCAAGCTAATAAAAGTAACATCCTATTAAAAGAAAACCTGGGTGCAGAGCCGTAGTTTTTGGCTGCTAATTGGTCATGTTACTAGCCACCTATGAAACATATGCTGAAAGTACTCAAAACTGTTCAGAAATGCCTAAGTCATAACTCTTTTACAGGTACAATTATGCAAGAGTAGAAATAGGAAAAGCACATTCAACATCTGGAGTCAAACAAGTTTACTGAAGTAAAATTGCAAAATTAAAATTAGATGAACTTAATTAAAAAAGGGATCCAATTTAATATGGACATTCATCAAGTTCTCATTGAAAACCTTTCTTGCCTCAAGAAAATATAATAAAGTATGAACACAAAACCTATATAAAGGCTGAAATGAAGTGTGAAGGGATGGTCAAATAAATGCAGAAAGAAGGAAAACTTTTTTCCTCCTTTTACCATACATGCGCATATACACACATTTTTCTTTTTCTTTTTTAATTAACTATTTTTTGACTCTGTAACAGTGGAATAAATAGACTCATCATCTGTATGCCCTGAAGGTCATTAATCTTTCCAAGGCATATGCTACATATTTACCAATAATATGAATACAGAACGCTCTCCCTCTATATGTAATTATAATTGGTCAGTTTTTTCTCCTAGATCCTAAAGAATTTTATCCAAACCCACTTATATTTATTAACAATTAAAAGTTCATTACCTGAGTAACTCATGCTGAAGTGAATGGGTGTTTTGCCACAGAGCTGGGTCTTGGATGACTTGTAATAGGATTTTAATTTGCTTTAGTTAAGACAGAAAAAATGAGGCTCTTTTGCTTCCCTTTACTAGGTCATTAGTGTCTTTGTTTCCAGGGGAAAAAAATCTTATAGTTCAGTACCAGTCACTACTATCTTCCATAACTTCTGGCAGAACAGCATTGACTTTCAGCTCTTCAACTTGGAGCACATACAGAATTTAGTAGTGTCAAACAACAATTTGAAAGGTTTAGAATAGTGTTATTAGGATCATATTATTTCCTTACAAAACTGCCTTGATACTTTGTTGTTCTGCACCTTGGTTATGTGATCAAGTAACATGATACGAATGCTGTATTATTTCTAACAAAGAGCATTACTACTACAGTATGCTCTGAGGGAGATACTGTCCTTTATTAGGCACATATTCCAAGAGTTGTCCAGCAATAATGAAACGTAATCTATTTTAAGGATTCATGATAACACATTATAATGCTCATTTTTGTATGAGATTAGATAGGAGTCTTACTGTTGTTCAATACATCTTTAAACCGAAGCTGAGAATTTATTGGACTACTTGGTTAATGACGATAAACTTCTAGAGGAATACAGGTTTTGTTTCCATGTCAGAAGAATTCTAGGTTTTGTAGTGTAATCTAATTTAAAAACGTACATACTTCCATACCATGGAATCAGCAGGACTTGGAAGTGGTGACACTTGACATATGTATCAGTGATCTAAAACCAGCATGAGCATGGTTTTAGGGCGAGATCAAAGGGCTGTCTATATCCTGCCTCTAAGAGTGGCCATTAGGCGATGCTAAGTGGAAGAGCATAGCATGCAGTGGTATGCCTCCCCTGGCCTCCTACTTCCTCAGGTACCAAAATATGCAATGTGGTATGTGCCATAATGGAGATAATAATTTCGACCACAATATCATCACAGACAGTATTATAACCTAAAAATTAGATCTTTCTTCCCCCAAAAGCTGAACACTTAACGCACCAAAGTAAATTCCTGTTAAACAGATAATCCAGATTACCCAACTGCATTTTTCTAGAAGACATATTCCCAGTTGATACAAAAGTATGGTGGGACTCAGATGTTCCCTCCACTTTTTTTTTTTTTTTTACAAAATCTGAAAAATTTTCTCTGCAGCAAAAATTCTGAGCTTCAAGATGCAGATAGATTATAGCCCTTTACAAGGTCTCCATAGATTATAGCCCTTTACAAGGTCTCCACAGTAGTATTTGAGAATCTGACTCAAGGTTTGAGTGATCAGACTAGTTACAACAAAGACAGCATTAGAGGGGAAAATAATTTGTAATTTTACAACTTACTGCTTCATTTTCAGCAAGAGGAAACTACTGAATTTCCTTTTTGTGCACTTCACTTTCTGATTAGAGCCTGTCCACAGCCCTTCTCTAAATGGTTACATTCTTCAAACATACAGTGTCAAACCTTCCAAGAACAGTTACATTAGTAGAGAGGACAATAGAAATGGCCTTTCTGACTTCAGTCTGATGAAAATTACTCAGAAATTGTGTCCTGAGCTCAATCTCTTGCAGGTCAATGTATGTTCTTATATTCTCTATCCTTGCATGGGTCAAGGCAAAATACTTCATTATTCACATAGATTCAGTTTCAGTGTAACATAACAGAAACCAGTAATATTCTAATATGGTTTACTAATGCAACTTTAGATCTTACCACTGAGCCCGAACGTGAAGATCCTCAAATTGCTGGCATCAGTGTTCCTATGGAGTCTGGCACAAATTCAGATGAGTGATCCTGCCAAAATACAGGGGAAAATATCCATCAGACAGATGATTATTTTTAATCACACTCTCCCAGTACCTATGGAAGCCTTACTTTATAAATGCCAACTGCAGGTTTAATGATAACACCACTAAAATAGATCTGAATGCAACACACCAGCACACTGACTTTTCGAGTGACTATGAACCTGAATATTGATTTCCACAGGGTACTTTCAATAGAAAAACTGTCCTTTTAAGAAAGCAATGCAGCAGAGTTTACCAGGAAAAATAACAGTATATTGCATTATTAGGTTTAATAAACAGCATTAGAAAGATGCCTCATGGAAAAAACCAAACAAATGAGAATGCACACAATTGGCCAAGCCCAAATTAATGAAGCACACACTAGCACACAGTTCATTTTCCTTTCACATCAAAGAGGTTTTGAAGTTCAAATAAATTTGCCTCCTAATAGTTTTAGTACAGGATTATCTCCCAACATCTGAAAAATAACATTCAGAGTTGGCATTTAACAGCTTATTTGTATTGCAGCACTTCAGGGACAAGCAAGTGTAATTTTTACCATATGTGGAGCGTTTCTTTCATTAAAGTATTGAAATTTCTGTACAAAAAAAACGTGACTGAGGAAAACCCCAGCAAAGGGATTATTTTACAAAGTATGTGTATAACGATTTTTTTTTAATTAATGCATATTATACTGTAAATATAAATATGTACATGTATACATTTGTTTCATTAAGGTTTACATATGGGTAATTTAAAAATTATTCAAGTTACTTGGGTTCAGGAGAGCATGTAAACTAGCTTGAAGTGAAAGCAAAGAAGAAATTGACAACAAATGACAACAAATACACAGGCAGGTGAAGCAGTGTTCTTGGGTCAGACTAGTTTTATGAACTCATAGCACTCAAAGGCAGGTTGCCTCTATAGAATAACAGCAAATTCAAAGCAAGAAAAAACTGCAAGGAGCCAACATCAAGCCCTATATGAACACAGAGGGTCTCCACATCTCTCCTCTTTTCATCAAGCTCCCAGTGAAAACATTACCATTTTCACTGTGTAACAAGAAATTCCTTAGAGTGAGATTTTCAAAGACATGTAAGAAAACTGGGTGTCTAATTTCCCCAGGCAGTTTTGAAAAGTGCACGATTAATATACTATATAGCTCCTTATACATCAAACAATTTCCCAGTGCACTTCACATTAATCTTTAATCTAGACACTTTAATCTTCAAATCTTCATACAATAATCTTCAATGAAGGGTTCTTTCTGGGAGCTTACAGTATATTTAACACAATTTAAAAACTACTAGTGCATTGCCCTAGCTTTTAATACCCAGAAAATGTTTTATAAATTAGATCAACTACAACCTAGCCAAGGTTTCTGTATTTTTAATATCTTTGGAGGGAGATTACAACAAAAGGGTGCTGGAGGGAATGACTTAGCTGGTTAAGCATCAGTTTACAATACTTTACATCACCCCAGAACCGGAGCTGCAGATCCCAGGGTTTATTCAGTGTTTCACTTTTTCCAAGGTAAGAACCATCATCTCTGTGTACATTATTGGGGAAAACAGTATAACTTACAGTGTATAGTTCTCTGTTTTGGCAGCTCTCTGTGCACATCTGGCTATGGACATAGTTTCCATATCTGTGGTTTTGCCAAAAATATTAACTGTTAGAACAGTGTGCCAGGCCCATTCTGCAGGGATACAGTCGTGAGTTTTAACTCCTCCTGGCCTTTACTGTTCCCTTCAGTGATGTTTAGCATAGCATCTCTGAGCTCTACTCATGGACCTGTGCTTCACAGTATTAGCCCTACTGAAATGCACAGCAGAAAAAAACCTTTAAAAATTTATACAGTGGGTGGAGGACAAAACACAACAGGTCAGTGCGAAGCAAGGCAAAAAGAAAAAAAAAATAAAATAACAGCCATTAGGACAAGCAGTATTTTCTGTAGGCAGCCTGGCAAAGGCACATTTTGTGGAGAGATTTGAAGAGCCAGTTTTGCAGAAGTGCCTGAAGAGTTCTGATGGGTCAAAGCATGAAGATGCTGGCTTGAAAACAAGAGCTGAGAAGCAAATGGAGATCATGACTGAAACTGAGGTTGAAGCTGCTGTTTTTATACTAAGATGACAGAGCAGAGGAACAATAAACTGCTTAAAAGAGAAAAGGAAGAGCCACATATCACATGAGTGTGACGGTCTGAAAGCAGTATGGCCAACACCAAAAGAAACTAGAAAAACAATTTTTTTTTACAGTGTTATTTGAGTTGAGTGATTATATTTGTTGAGATTTGAGAAAACAGATTTACAGTGCAAGAAATCTAAGAGGCAATATAGATGGCCAGGGAAAACCACATGTCTGATTTCACATGCCAGATGGATGCAAGGTGAAAAAGAGAAAACTCGGTTGAAGACAATGCTCAGATAGTGAATTTGGGTGACAAATGAGGTGACAGATTGTTAATAGTCATCATGAGAGAGTAACTGAGGGGGCATCTGCAGAAAGATTATGGACCATTGTTTTAGTTTGAAAAAACACTTCAATATTTATATAGAAAGACTTAGATTTTAGGTTGGGTAGGTTTGAAGTACAGAGGTCCACATAGTTCCTAATCAGCTTCATTAACACAGTAGCTTGATCTGTGCTTTATGAGAGAGATCTCATGGACAAACTAGGAAGGAAGTAAAAACCTGACCTCCCTGTAAACTCTTCCAACTGGAGACTTGATAAGGCAGATTCACCAAAAAGCACAAAGAGGAAAAGATAATGTCATGGAAGCATGGTAATACACAACAATTTCAGCAAATATAATTTTGAGCAGAGGCAGCACCAAGCCCCTCAAAGCACTGGTAGACAAATGACTAATAGAATGTCTGAAAAAACTATGTTCTGATTTATATAAGGCAAATATATAGTCCCAGGAAGCAAAGACTCCTTGGGCATAATAGGAGCACTTATGGTCCAGAAAGTTTAGTGAAAGTAAACCCTTGTAAGACACTGAGAATGGATTTTTCTGGATGAAGATATTTTCTTGATTTGGATGAAATTTTACAGTTTTGGCAAAGTCAAGAGATGAGATTAACAGAGTGAGAATGAGGAAAAAAAAGTCAAAATTCTAAGGTAAAAATCTTTAAGAAATATATTCCTAAGTGACATCCAAATGTGCATTCAGAGGGGAACAATTAGGTGAGAGGATAGAACTGACGATTCCCTGAAGATTAAATTTATACTGCAGATCACAAGGGTCTGTGATGGCACCCATGACTTTAGCTTGCTAAGTAGTATGCTTCAGAAATTATCAAGCACAAGAGGCCTTAGCAAGAGGAGCATTAATCCTGACAAAACACTGACAAGCACTTTCAAAAATTTAGAGATGACAAAGGGTAACAAATGGTTGAAATGATAATGCCCTGAAATTAGCTATGAACCTGATGCTTTATTTTATATCTTATTACAGTACAGTTGTCTGACTGGATTAACATAAAAGATTTATTAATTTACACATCCATTAGATTAGTTTGTGTAAAGTAAGTGTGACAACAAAAGAAAACCAGTAGCAGGAAATACAACATTTTAGAAAGAGATTTCTCACCATTTTTGCTCTCTTTCATGAATTTGCTCTTCACCCATTTCTATGTAAACACACAGAATTTTGCAGAATTTTCCAAGACAATGTTTTTTTCTCTAGATGTATACACATACATTAAAAAGATACATTTACCTATTCACCTTGAATAAAAAGTGACGTCCATGCTTCACTAAGGAATGCAGCTCAATGTGGCAACACCTGCTAATCTCTAATACGGGAAAATTACCACTGGGGTTATTTCCTAGAAATGTAAATCCAGTGTTGAACTGGTTGTGTAACTCAGACTATCACAAGGTTTCATACAGCATAGAAAAGCTGCATTTTAAAGTCTTATGGGGGGAGGAGAGGAGGTGTGAGGAGATGTGAATTCTGTTCAATACTAAATTGCTCTCAATGCTGTGAAATGTGTGGAAGCAAGGTTAATTGAAAACCTGAAGTCATATAAAAATAAGTTCAGCCTTTAAAAGGAATACATATGGTGTATAAAGCACCATTGAGCTCAGGTGGATAAGTGAACATTTTCAATGCACATAAGTTGAAGAAATGAAGAAGTAGATGCAGATAATAGGTATTACTAAACTGGAATATTCTGAAGGCCTGGAAGAGAGATAGAAAACCACTACCATGGAAACATTTTATAGATTACTTTTTCTTCTCACCCAGGGAAAAGTGAGTCTCCCATTTCCCTTTAGATGAAGCTTTTTTATTGACTATGGCATCATCCCTCTAGGGAAAAATGGGTGGTTTTCAGAGGCAGACGTTAAGCAAGAGCATCGGGACTCTCCTGAAAAGACACACCAGTGAGGTACTGGATTTCCCATAGTAGGGTGTAAGAGGTGCTGAGCCAGAGATCTGCTAAAGCAGGAGAGGGAACTGTACAAGGTGAATGGACAGGGCAATTGCAAGGAGAGAGCAATGTGCAGGTCTGTTTCTGTTCTCCAAGGATGCTTTTCCTCCTGGGCATGCTTTTACTAGGATGGAGTTATTAATGATCTAAATCATGGTCTAAATATTCATTATAACATACCTGTAAACGTCCTATGCATTTGCATCCCACATTATTCTTAAAAACCGTTTACCTATATATATCTATAAAAAGATAAAGGAATATATATTTATTCACTGTCGCGTAAAATGCTTCTAGCATTTGGTTCATCTACTACAGATGCATGTGTAAAAATTCTCAAGTTCTCTGTTATGCTGTCTGATAGCATCAAGCAGCTAATAACCCAGGCCAGGTACAGCTGAACCTGTTTGAAGCTGTATTTTTTCCCATTCAAGTATTCATAGTCTCTTTCACAACATATCTGTCCCTAGTTCTCCAAGAATTAGCCCCTTCCAAAATAATGCTGCTTGTTTAGCTGTCAGCTCTACCTAGCCTCTGTTACAAAAGGATGCAGACTTCAGACCTTCTG